TGCTTCTGGATGAAAGGAAGAGCCATGCTTGTGCGGTTGTGCCCAATTGCTGCTGGACCTATATACTCCCTTGATTTCAAAATTTAAAGTGTATTATTTTAAAAAAAGTTGAACATATCCATGTTTGACCAAGGTTTTAGAAAGGTATCAGTGTGTACAATATCAAATTTGTATCATTAGATCCATCACGAAAACCATTTTCCTATTTTATTCATTCTGTATTGTAGATATTCTGTTCTATATAATCATGGTCAAACATACATATATTTGAATTGCACAAAAATTATTGCACCTTATATTTTGGAATGGGGAAAATATTATTGTTGTTTTATTGTCTTCATTTAGTTCATATTTCCCTTAGATATCTCTATATATATCCTCCGAATAGAATATAGATATTTCTAAATGTCACCGTATATCTCAGTCTCATAGATATAATATAGACATCACCGTATATCCCTGGGATAGATAGCAAGGGTTGCTGCTATCAACACATCTCGCCAATACCACACTGACACCTGCATGAATGAGTCTTGCTTAGAGCATCTATAGCAGATCCCGTAAAAGGAGGGTAAAGCCCCAAAATAATTGTTCTTTTATGGTTTATGTCTGACAAAACGTGCATCCACTAGATGCCGCAAAACATCGGGTTCCCCTGAAAACGAACCCCCACATCCCATATTTTCAGTCTTGAAGGCAAAAGAAAGTTAGCTCCCCGCGATACCAGAAAATACCACATCCCCATATTTTCAGTCTTGAAAGCAATTTTTTAACTCCCCCGATACATGTTGGTGGGAGGGAAGTTCACGTCAACCGCCACCGCCGCTAGCTCCAGATTCCGATCGTCCCCGCCGCCGACGACCAGCCGGCTGATGTCCCCCGCCCTTCCTCGCCTCATTCCCGAGGGCCATGGCGCCCCTTGAGCTCTCGGGTGGCAGCGGGCAGCTCCGCCATGGATGCGAGCTCAAGGTCATCGGGGCCCAACAGCCATGGAGGCCCTCGTCGTGCATCCTCGTCTTGTTCGCTGCACGACCGCACGCTGCCGGATGGCCAGCAGACGCTCGTCCCCGCGTCCATGTGCCGATGGCCTCGTTGTGGGCCATGGTGCCTCTGCTTTGTGCTTGAGCGTGATCGTGCACCGCCGGCTGGCCAAGAGCGTTCGAAACCGAGGCCATGGCGGCGGCCAAGCTCATCATCGCCATGTCAGTGACGGCAACGCTCTCGAGTGTCGTTCACCTAATTGGAGGCGTCACTTCGGGGGGCCTCCTCCGTGCTCTGGGTGAAAACCCTTGGTTCATTTCTGGGCATGTCAGTGGCGACACTATGGCGTAGTTCCCTATCTACAGGCTCCATCTCTTGGGCAAGGCCCTTCCTGTTGATGGTCGGGGTGTGGTGTTGGACGACAACATCTTCTCTTTGTATTGATGGTACCATGGCCTAGACGGTGGCGCTCTCAAGGTGTACAAGTTTTGATTGTGGGGTGGTGCTCGGAGTCAACACTGCAGGACCTCGGCGGTAGTTTTCATCTAGGCTTGATGGTGATGAGCGCAACCCTCGCACGGCGACTCGGCCCCCTCTCACTTTAGGGTAAGAGAGCAAAGGGCTCCTTTAGGCGATGGAGCTGGATGGTGTTGTCTTTGTGGAGGTCTAGGTGTTGGTGATGGCATGGCTTTCCATGTCGGCTTGTCCCCTTCTCGAGTTGGCTTCATAATCCGCTCCGGTTGGTTGCTCGCGGAAGAGATTTCAGAAGTCCCCAAGTGGTTCTTCTTTTCCAGTCGATGTTGGCTTTTTATTTTTCTAGGTTGTGTCGTTGTGCCTCGACACCATTGTATCATGTTGGTTATTTTTCTTTCTTTGTTTGTGCTTGTGGTAGTGTGGTGTTTTAGCTTACTGTATGGGCTTCATTAATTTAAAGTCGTGCGGTAGCCTTTTCTCCTTAAAAAGTGTAGGAATTTTTTCTACTTTTTTATTCTCAGATCCTATAAATTCTTTGAATTAATGAGGGTAAATTGGCAATGCAGGATAAGCAGAGCGCTCCTATATCTCGTATTCAGCGAGTTTAGCTTCCGTCTCACTGAAGGGGCGGGCGAGATGGGTCGGCCGCCACGTGCGGGGCCACAACCTCTTTTTTCTATATTTTTTATGTTTTCTGTTCTCTCTTTTTTTCTTTTTTATACCTTTTTATACTTTAAGTAATCTATACATATATATATTATAAAAACACTCTACAAAAAATATTTGAAAAATATTGAACAAGTATTTGACAAACGTTAATCAAACATTCAGAAAAAATTGAACGTGTATAGAAAAATTGTTGGTCATCTATTAAAAATGATGATTTTTTTCTCATGTATATAAAAATGTTAAGCAAGAATTAATTTTTTTTTGAAAAAGTATTTAAAATAAGTTAATCAAGCATTTGGGAAATATTAAATGTCTATAGAAAAAGGTTTACCATGTTTAATTTTTTTATCATGTATATAAAAAAGTTAATCAAGCATTTGAAAAATTGTTGAACAAGTATTTGAAAAATGTTAGTCAAGCATTTAGAAAATATTAAATGTGTATAAAAATGTTTTCCATGCATTAATAAAATGAGGAATTTTTTTATCATGTATATAAAAATGTTATTCGAGCATTTGGAAAAATGTTGAACAAGTGTTTGAAAAATGTTAATCATGCGTTTGGAAAATGTTAAAGTGTATAGAAAAAATGTTGATCATGTATTCAAAGAATGTTAATATTTTTATCTGAAAACTTTAATCAAGCAATCAAAAGAGTGTAAAACATGTATAGGAAAAATAGTGACCGTGTATTCGAAAAATGTTAATCAAGCATTTTAAAAAATATTAAAAATGTGTGTAGTAAAAATGTTGACCATGTATTAAAAATGTTAAGTTTGTATTGGAAAAATGTCAAAGCGTGTATTAGAAGAAAAAACGTTGTTGACATAGGGCCCACGATTTTGCCGGCCCGGCCTCTGCCCATTGACTACAATCTTTCTGCGAAGTGAGCATAGCTTAGATGGTTGTGTTCTTTGTGGTGGCACTAATTCATCAGGGCTCAAGTCCTAATACTCGCATTCTCTGGATTTATTTCAGGCTTTCCGACGATTCCCGTTCAATGGGAGAAGATGTTCTCGTCGACTACGAGGTGTCTGTGGTGACTTCCTCAATCTTAAGATGTAGTCTGGCTCGGTATTTCTTTGAATCAAGCGACCAATGTAGAAAAAAAAATCATAAAGATTCTAACGCTTCAAAAATCCTATAGAATTCATTTGCCCCAGGACTAAAGTCCCACGTAATTGCCCGCTCTCACACACACACAAAAAAAAAGAACCAGGCGCGAACAATTTGAAACGAGGGGCAAAACCGACAAATCCGACCGTGTAACAACACAGATCTCATCAGGTGGAGCAGGCACACGGCGCTGACGTCCCAGAAAGGCCAAGCGCCGTAGCGCCTCACAGAGCTCCGGCCGTAACCCACGCACTGACAGGCGGGTCACGCGGAACGACCCACCTGTGCGTCGCCGAAAGGGTAAGCTGGGCGTCCGGTGCGAAAATGCCCGAGACGAGACAGGGCAGTGCGTCACGCGTGGGGCTGGCCTCCCGCTGTCCGGTCGCCTCGCTCGGTTGTACGGCACGTGGCTGCCGGTGATAGGTGTGTACGCTGGGCGGTGGGCCTACAGTCAGTGGATAGCTACAGCCCTGGCCTCGCGTGCTGAGGCTGGACAAGGGCCAAGCTGAAATTGGCATGCCCACACGCGAGTGAGTCCGGACCAAAATGATTATGCTCCTTGATTTTGCTATCGAAAACACAGCACGTTTATAATGCTTAATAGTGCCCCCTTACTAAAAAAAGTTTACTATAGGTATTAAAAGTATTCATATAGACAATGGTCTAAAAAGATTCCCTCATATACACATCCAGTTTTGCATCAGAATGTCTATATACAGAGACCATGACAGGTGGGCCACTCTAGGGAGAGGAAGAAATCATGACTGCAGCTGAGTTTAGACAACGCCTTCACATTGTCCAGACATGGACATTGTCGAGGCCAGTTTAGAGGATGTGTGTATTTGGACGATCATATAGACAAGCTGTTGGACGCCTGTTTTGAGCTCACGTCGTGGAAAACGAGTATAGACATCCATATAAACAAGCTATTGGAGATGCTCTTATTACTGAAATCCAGACGAGGGATGGGAGAAACAGACAAAGACTTAACCGAAAATTAGAATGGCACACCCTACATTCGGGGGAAGAGATTATGAGTAGACTAGGTGGACCTACATGCGCACCGCCTTAGCAACCCACATCTTGGATGGCTCGCTCGCCGCAGCACGCCAGCGCGAAGGCGCCATTTCATATGAAAATTTCCTATTCCTACGATTTCTCCCCACTTATCCTTTGAACCAAAGGAGGCATAAACTTCTATTTCATCAAAGAAGATGTGGAAGTCTAATCGTGGCGGACAAGTGGACTCGAGATGACTTCACTTCACTGCCACTCCACACAGTGAAGGCAAATGGTGTGCACATAGCATTTACCCCTCCATGGACCAGATTGAGCACCACAGTCCAGGCCCCCTCGGCCATTTTATTACTTCCTCCGTCCCAAAATTCTTGTCTACAAAAATTTTGTGACGGAGGGAGTATTTTAAAACAACACAAGTGGATGGATTTCAAACGGTCCAGGCCGAGTGAGGCCGCTAATTAATTAACCCCAACCCCCAAACCAAATTCAAATCCACAAAGCCTCCTCCTTGACTCTCACCTGAAAGCAAAGCAGAGACCTTTCCCTTGGCTCTGCCGTTCGCTTCACTCCCACTGCTGCTCCTCCTCTCCTCCCCTCTCCTCTCGCTCGCCCACGCAGGCAATCCCCAGCCCGCCCCCCACCGAGGAGAGGATACCCACGCGGGCAGGGCGCGCTCGCGCTAGATCTGGCCGGGGCAATGCGGCGGGCGGCGGGGTGACGCGCGGGGGCGGATCGGGAGCGATGCACCGGGTGGCCATGGCGGAGGGCGGCGGCGCCGGCGGGGGGAGGACGCTGGGGGCCGTCATCCGGGAGAAGGACGAGGAGCTGGCGTTCTTCCTCGAGATGCGCCGCCGCGACAAGGAGCGGGCCGGCGCCGCCGCTGACATGCTGCTCGCCGCCGACGGCGAGGACGCGGACGCGGACGGGCTGCTGCTGCTCGACCCCTCCCCGCCGCCGCCTCCGCCGCAGCCACCAGCCGGTAAGGACGACGAGCCCCGACGCACGCTCCCTGTCCGGACCCGTCCGGACCCCTGTCGGGGATTTTGCTGCCGTTTTCTCCCCCCTTTGGCGAAAACCCTAGCTTATCCATTTTGGTCCGGGTTTATGGGCGCAGAGCCCAGGGCGGCGCCGGCGCCGGCGTACAGGATGGCCGGCGGGTTCAGGCGGGCGCCCGGCGGGGCCGACGACTTCCTCCACTCCGACGCCGGGGACAAGAGCGACTACGACTGGTAGGTGCCCCCCACTGCCTGCCTTTCACTGACAAATTTGTGGTTTTTCCGCTACGGGCAACATAATCATTGGTGGGACAAGGTTGCGGCCTAATCTGGACTTCACCGTTGTGAATTCAATTTACATTTAGCCGGATTGAAGCTGCCGATTGGTTGGTGTTGGTACCCCAAAGTCTGAGCCTCCACTCTTTTGGCAATGTAGGTGGGGGTAGGGGTAGGGGGTTTCCGAGCATTGCTAATTGAGGGGTTCTGTTCCAGATGGTCTTACCGGAGGCCCCATCCTTCAATTCGGAGCTGCATTAATACTACCGTGTACTGCAAATTAATTTGTACTTACATTAATGTACTATGCTGTGTATTGCAAGATTTTGGGTTGCAAGGAAAAATATGCTTTCAGCTGCTGCTACGGTCCACAATACCAAACCTGAATGCCAAACCATAAAGTTTGGCTTTTGCCCCATGCTGTTAGTTTTATTTATGTGCAGTGATCTACGTGTATATAAGATTTTGGCTTGCATAGCAAAATGTGCTTTCAGCTGCCGCTGCTACGCTCCACACTACCAAACCTGAATGCTAAACCATAAAGCCTGGCTTTCTCCTGGATGGATTCGGTGCCGTTAGTTAGAGTTTAGCTGTTATTGTTGGAAAGGTTGGGTCTTCTTAGCTGGTTGTTGGACGAACAGTTGGCTCCCTTGTTTCCCTTAGCTGCTGCTTCTTTCTTTGATTGCTTGCCTTGTTAATGTGTTGTAATCAGGTTGCGCTCTTTTCTTTTAGCTATTGCGCTTTAGGACGTGCAATCCGGATGGGCTGGGTCTTAGGTGATTGCGAGATCTTCTGGAAAGCTCTTTTTGTTTGTGGAGTTGTCAATTTGTTGAGCTTTAGTTGGCCCCAGCTTCTTCTCTTTGCTTTTTTGGTTGGTTAGCTAGTGAGTCCATCATGTCGTGAGCTTTCTGTGATTTCATTATTTTTTTGTACGCAGCTGAAATAGTTTGGTGCCGGACACATAAATTTCAACATTCAATACCTTAGCCCCAGCAAGCTACCTAGCTTAGCGCTAGTTGATTTGAAGTGTACTTGATTGTCATGTTTGGACTTATCTGCTAAGGTTTTTGTCCTTAATGCCTGTCCAATCATTAATTTGCCAGCGGGTGTGTGAGTGTTAGATCTCTAGGCGGCCATTTAACATTTGAAGCATATTCTTTTTGTTTAGAGGGCTATTGGATTGTTTGGTGGTGATTGGTTGTTGGTAGGTGGCAGGTGAACTATGGAACAAGTTCACATGATACTTGTCTTGATTGGTTGCTTGACTTTGTAGGGATGCAATTACTTAGTGATAGTGACATGTTTTAGCATGAGTCGTGAAATGGATTTGAGTGGGCATTTTATAATTCAGCTACTCATTGCCCATCTCTTTCATTCAAAGTGCTCAATATCAGACACTGTGCAAGATAAATGGGTCCTTTTGGTGCATGTTACACATTTGATCCTTTTGTTGCTCGCGGTTTTGAAGTTTTTTAAGTTCATTCTGCTACACCGTACATTTTATTTAGAGAGCACAGCTGGGCTGCAGTTCAGAGTATTTTACTGACCTTCCTGACCAATGAACTTGTTCACTTTCAGGCTTCTCACTCCACCTGGAACTCCACTCTTCCCATCTCATGAAGCTGCGCCAAAAAGGTCTCCGGTGAGCCAAACAGGATCACCAAAGACTCGCCAGAACTCCTTGAAATCAAGGGTGAGCCATTGGAACATGACCATTACTTGGTTTATACAAGATTACCTATTGTGGTGAATACTTCTCGTCAACCCACATAATTCACAAACCTGCTATGCGGTGGATATAAAGTGATATGATCTAGTTGAATCTGTACACCACTTTATAATATCGTACACCACTTTATAGTATACGGATATTATTTTGGATCTGCAAGCAAACAGGCTCTCCATGGATTTATCTCCAAGATAATATTTCCTCGTCTCATAACTTCGTAGTGGATTTTTTTATCTCAGAGATAGCACTTCTGAGTTTTGGTTAGTGGATTTTTTTTTATCTCGGAGATAGCATTTTATTATTTGACTGAACAGTTTTACTTGTCTATATTTTTACGGAGTTGGTAATTAATTGTTTCCATTTTTAAGAAGTCTTCTAGAATCGAGTTTTTGGGGGTAAACTACCCTTTTAAGTATGATGAGTACTCTTCAATAATTTCTTTTTAAAATCAAGGGTGAGCCATTGGAACATGAGCATTACCTGGTTTCTACATGATTACCTATTGTGGTGAACTTCTCAGCAATCCACATAACTCCACAAACTTCCACTCATGCTGGATGCGAAGTATGATCTAATTGAATCTGTACACCACTTTTACGGTAGTATACTTCCTTGTGTCTTCCGAATTATTTTGGATTTTCAAGCAGACAAGCTCTCCATATACTTATTATCTATTGTCTCAAGCTTCATGGATTTATCTCAGAGATATTAGTACCTTTGATCCATCTGTGATGTATTGGACTGAAGATTTTACTTGCCTATGTCGGTACAGTGGTTAAGATGTTCTTTAGAATCTAGTTTTGGGGTTCCATTGAGTTCTGTAAATATAATTTGTACTCATAAGTTTCTTTCTGTGTGCTCTTGCATGGTATTTTAGTTGGCCAATCATCCAGATCCTCCATCAAGAACCACACATCCATTGAGAACAACATCATCAAACAGCTTAAACTCAGCTGCGACAACTCGTCGGCCGACATCATCTGGAGGGCTTACGTCTAATTCTTCAAGACCTTCAACACCAACTGGACGTGCTGCATCGACCGCCACATCCAAAGGTTCAAGACCTTCATCTCCCAATGCTCGGGCAACTCTGCCTGCCAAGACTGCACCTACTGCCCCAAGATCGTCGACGCCCACTTCCAGGTCAACACTCCCTTCAACAAGGTCAGCACTGCCTTCATCAAGGTCAACAACTCCATCAAGGACATCTGGCCCTGCTACTGCTACCAGGACATCTGGCCCTGCTGCTGCTACCAGGACATCTGGCCCTGCTGCTGCTACCAGGACATCTGGCCCTGCTACTGCTACCAGGACATCAGTTCCTTCAGGCAGAGCATCAGCACCTGCTAGCAGATCATCAACGCCTACTTCAAGATCATCAATGCCTGCTACTAGGTCAACTACACCTTTGTCAAGGCCCTCCTTACCAGCACAAAGCAAGCCTGCATCAAGGTCATCAACCCCAACAAGGCGGTCTTCTGCCCCTCCTACCCACGCCCAGCACAGTAACTTGCCCGGACCAGTTCGATCCTCCTCAATCTCTAGACCAGGACCTACAATGCCCAAAAGTTCTGCATTGCCAGCAACAACAACAGCGCCAGCACCTTCAAGGGGCAGCTCACCTACTGTCAAATCAAGACCATGGAAACCATCTGAAATGCCTGGCTTCTCACTTGATGCACCTCCAAATTTGAGGACGTCGCTACCGGAAAGACCAACCTCTGCTACTCGGGGTAGGCCTGGCGCACCTAGTTCTAGATCTTCCTCTGTGGAGCCTGGGCCAGCTGCTCGACCGAAACGCCAGTCTTGCTCTCCTTCAAGAGGGAGGACATCAAATGGCAGTGTGCCTTCAGGGAGTTCCATGCCGGCAGTGAGAAGATCACATCTTAACGGAGGTGACAGCGTGAACCCAGTTCAGATGGGCAATAAGATGGTTGAGAGGGTAGTGAACATGAGAAGACTAGCTCCTCCAAAACATGATGATCAAAGATCCAGTCTCAATAGTTTGTCTGGAAAATCATTAAATTCTCCAGATAGCTCTGGCTTCGGTCGGTCACTGTCAAAGAAGTCACTGGACATGGCACTTCGGCACATGGTAATTAATTTATTTCTCTCACTTTAGTGAACACCAAAAACTCCTTTTAGTTAAATTAAATCTGAGGTGTAATTTTTGCACGCAGGACATACGGCGCAGCATTCCAAACAATCTACGGCCTCTTATGACGAGCATTCCAGCATCATCTGTGCATAGCGGCCGGTCTGGATCCACAAGGGGCAGACCGATAAGTGTATCAGACTCCCCTCTTGCAACTAGCAGCAACGCCAGCTCGGAGCCGAGCGTCAACAACAACCTGATGTGCTTTGACAGCATCGACATTGACGATGAGCTGTGCAGCGATAGAGCAGGACATTATGCACGATGATTTGCCTCTTTGCTAGTACAAAGTTCTGTCTCTGATGAATTTTCACGACCACAAAATGTTAAGAGCGCCAGTGTTGAAGATCATCTCTGATGAGCTCTATTCTCATATGTAGGTTCTTTGAGTGTCCAATGCTCATTCATTTATGCCATGTGGGCTGCTCCATGTCCAATGCTAATCCATTTATGTTATCATTGAGAAGGATCCGTCTTTTATATGTTCTTTCTTCGACCAGTTCATTATGCTGGTAGCGAAGCATGCCCCACTGGCTGAACTGTGTTGACTTTTGTTGTATCGCAATGTAAATTCGGTAGCTGTTTATTTGAAGTAGTATATGATTTTGGAGTTGCCAGTTATGGTAGCTCATCTTGCTGAATGTAGAATCCCATAATGTCAGGGCTGCTACATTAATACTACTGAAATGTTGCAAAAACCTGTCATGAACTCATCAGCAGAATTGAACAGATGAACAGTTACAGCCGGAGTAATGAACTGAACTATTTTTTGTTCTACTCTGATACAAGGTGAACTTCACTAGCTACCACAAGAAAAAACTCCTGCTTTTTTATTTTGCTACTGCAAGGAGCACTGGAGCATCAAAGGCTCCAAGCTATTCTTATGATCACAAGGAATTGCAAAGATGGCAAAACATCTCACGGATACAGTTGGAGGAAGAGAAGCCGCGGCGAGTTTCGAAACTCTTCTGTCAAAAGTCGAAATCAGTAACTTGCGAAGGGTCGAAGAGGAATGGGTAGGGCAGGCAGACCAGCAGCCCCAGGAACAAAATGGCGACGCCGAGGCCGATGTAGATGTTCTCGGGCTCCGTTATCTCCTCGGAGAGGGGAGCTATCGGACCCCTCTGCAGGAAGAAGATGAGCACCGCCCAGTAGAACGCCACGTCGCTGAAGAGCGACGAGAGCCCGAGCAATGCAATGGTGACGCTGCCGAGCCGGGATGATACCTGTTGCAAAATACAAGTTTGGGTTCATCAGAGGGTGCATTGCAAGTCAAGGGTGAGAAAAGCAAGCACAGAAGTTCTTCATAGCTTCAGGTAGCCTTCCATCCTGTTTATTCTTTGAGCAGCAGCATCTTTACCTTTCTTCCCCACATGGCGAGCGCTATGCGGCCGCCGTCGAGCTCTCCTGCAGGGATGCTGTTAATGGCGTTGATCAGGAGACCAGCCCAAGCCCACAAAACCAGTGGGTTGATTGATAGCTGTGTTCCTTCTTTTAGAACATCTCCAAGAATAAGCTTTGCTATAGTACCAAGAAAAGACATATCAAATTAAACACTGTTTGCATAGTTCAAAAGGTTTTTATGCAGTTCAGAACTCAGTACATACAGAACGAGGATGATGTGTAGTTTCAGTATCCTTACCAAGACCACCAAGAAGAAATGATTGATGAAATACGGCGGGATCTACGATGATACCAAGACCGTCACTTGGAGGTAACGTGAAGCCCAGCAGAAGAAGACCAAATCCGAGCGAAAACCCCGCAACCGGTCCAGCAGCTGCTACCTTGAGCAGGTCCCCGCGATTGCGTACAATATTGACTATTCTGGTGATGCCACCAAAAGATCCTATCTACAGAAAACACAAAAATGAGATACTCATAGTCAAGTAGATAAGCCTGGAATGGTGCAAAAATGAATGTTACTGCCAAAGCTATGATCTATCTCCCAATATTCCTATATTTCTAGAAGGCCGCTAAGAACACATTTCAGATCAAACATTGCTTTTGCATTACAAATAGGAAATACAAACAGAAGAAAGTTAAACAAAGTTCTTCTAATTTTGTCTCATAATCTGGGATAGCATGTTATATAATTAAAGGAAACAAGTAAGCAAGGAAATCATCCAAGATTTTTTTTCCTTTTTATAGAGAATGGCAATTTTTTAAGCTAGGCACAATTTCTAACAATTAAAAATATACACTCCTTAGGTGAAATTGTAGGCTTGCAACTTACCTGCCAGCTAGGAACAAAATATGGTACTGAAAGCTTGACCCCAGCATCCTTAGCAGCGAGGATGTGTCCAATTTCATGAACCCCTACTATGAGTCCCGTTACCAGGGCACCGGGAAGTCCATCTTTCAATAGCTCAAGGTTATCAAATGTTGATCTGGAGAAGAATATCTCGTTAGAAGAAGTAGCAGGCTATTATTGTCTGGCTTATGATATGAGGAAATACACAGCTCTGTTTTCCGAAGTAAAGGAATCAGTAGAAATTATTGCATGAATCGAGATGCATAACTAAAGTAATTGGCAAAACAAATTTCACGTGCACTTGGAATGCTAAAGTATGAGGAAGACAGAAGTTTTGCATCATATTGCCAAGTGCCTAGATAACATCATTTGGCCCCAGATGAGACTTCAAAGTTGTTTTAACACAAAGGTATAAGCACACACTGCCATTCGAAGATGACATCAAGCTAGAGAAACTGTAAATGAATTACTCCCTCCGATCCATATTACTTGTCGCAGCTTTAGTACAACTTTGTAGTACCTTAAAATTCTTATAGTACAAAGAAATCAACAATTATCAGAACAGAAGACAAAGCAAAATGGTGAATAAATGGAAGAGAAACCTCATACAGCAAGTTGTCCTGAAGGACAGGTACGTTCCGAAGCAACAGAGTGAAGATGGTAACTACTCCGAACGCACCAGCAGCAGCCCACTCTGGGACAGCTGAAAATTTAATTTACCGACAGTTGGATCAGCAAGTTTTAAAACTAAACGCAGACATAGTAATGCAAAATTTTGGGTGCCTGACATAAGAAAGATATTTGACCAATTCCTTTAGCGTCGACTATGAGGAAAGAATTATTACATCCAGTGGCAGGCTCCACTGTCTGCTTAGGTACAACTACTGCAACTGGCTTCTCATCCTCTGGATTGATGAGAAGAAAAACCTTAAATTCATCGCCAAATTTGTTCTGTGGATAACCGGGAGCAGCACACAGATCAGAACATTCACATATTTGTACACACATATATCTGTGAAAGGATCTACTTTTTGAGTATCTTGTTACCTCTAGTCGAGTTGTGATCTTTTCAAAACTTTTGGCTGGCACACCACGCAAGTTCCCTTTAAATAGTATTCCACCCTAATGTACAAAAGTGAAGGCAACAATAACAATCTGTCATTTTGAGCATTTGATGCCTTTTTACATGCTGTCATTTGAAATGAGAATATGAATCATATAGTACATGATCAGTTTAACAGAATATTTGGTTGATTGTGGATGCTACTTTAGAAACACAATTAGTAAACAAAAAATTGCAACTTGCTAGTGAGGTTGATATTTCACTGGAATTACTAATAAAATCTGCTGTATGAACATGAAGATAAACCATGGCATCTGAGACGCTCACCTCGTAAGGCTCGTGGCTGGTCACGAAGAACGTGTCAAAACTGAAAACTTGATCCTTTAGAATGTCTACTGTAGCCTTGGGGATACTCACAGCTTCTTCAAGTTGTTGCTGCATATCATTGAGTTTTAGGAGGTAAACAAGAAGGCTCACTACCTCATCGGGTTTCAGATTTCAGAAACATCGAACAGTCAAAAAATTTAAAAAGAATTCTCTATTAATAACCACCCTACCATAGAGATTATGTGGAACAAGCAGCATATCTCTTTGATTTCTGAAGTTTCACTCAACTTCTGAACATGCAAACCAAGAAAACTGAAACGGAAACAGCGGTTACCTTCATTCCAGGCAAAGGAGAGCCACTAGCAACATTAACATCAACCTCCAGCAGCTGCTCCTGTTTTTGAACAGAATATCCGACATGTCATGACTACATTCTCAATGTCTTTTATGGCCTATACTAGATCACTACAAGCGTACCTGCGCAGCGCTGTCAGCGGCTGCAGTAGCATCTCCGTCGATGCTCTGAACCGTGTCGCTAGCGCTTACCGGCTCTGCATTCGGGGATTCATCTTTCGTCTGTTTTTTAACAGAATATCAGACATGCTACAATGATGGCGCTCTCAATGCCTTTCTGGAATAAACTAGATCACTACGAGCATACCTGCGCAGCGCTGTCAGCGGCTGCATTGACATACCGGTCGATGTTCTGAAGTGATTTGACAGCGGCGCTTACTGGCTCTGCATTGGGGGATTCATCTTTCGTCTGTTTTTTAACAGAATATCAGACATGCTACTATGATGGCGTTCCCAATGCCTTTCTGGCATGAACTAGATCCCTACGAGCGTACCTGCGCGGCGCTGTCAGCGGCTGCTTTAGCATACCGGTCGATGTTCTGAAGCGATGTGAGAGCGGAGTTTAGCGGCTCTGCATTCGGGGATTCATCTTTCGTCTGGTGAGGCATGGGAAAGCTAGATAATTATAGTTCAGTTACTTGCATGTCCATCCATCTAGCTAGGATTCTAGGTCTAACAGACATAAAAATTCACACACTGCAAGATGCTCTGGCATCTGGTAAGTAAGGCACAGTGCATTTCAGAGTTGAGACTGAATTTGAGAAACCGTAAAAGCAAGGACGATTACATTATCTGTCTCTGCAGCTGCATCTGCTTGGACAACACTGTCGGCTGGAGGCGATGGAGCATCATCCACAGCCTCGTCGCCATTGCTGGCGGCTGGCCCAGGCTCGTCGGCCGCACGGCATGCCACCCTCCGGCTCCTCGACCTTGGATTAGCGCCATGAAATCGTGCAACGGATGTGATGAGAAATCCAGGAAACGGCATGGAGCTTCACGTCCCTGACAGTCAGAAACCAAGAAACGCCGCTCACCTGCTGCGAGGGCCGGCCGGAAGCGGGAGGGACGAGGAGCTGAGCGTGAGCGCGAGGCGAGCGCCTCTGCTCCTGGTCGGCGCGGAGGTGGACGCGAGGAGCGGGCGGTGGCAGCAGCACCCGTACGGCGACGCGGCCCGCGACGTCGGCGGGCGAGGAGAAGAAGAGCTCATGGCCGTGGAGTCGTGAGCGGGGAGGGGGAGGACGCGCGCGCCTTATCTCTTTCTCTCCTCTTGGAAACGGATGGAGAAGAAAAGTTAGGAGATCTTTTCTGCGGCTGCGATCTGGCATCAGCACGAATCTCAAAGCTACAATCTTCCAGTGATTTTGTACATGCATTTGCATTGCACGTATCACCCGATGATGCATTCAAAAAGGATCTAAGTTCAGTTTTCCATAACAAAATATCTCTCATGATAATTAGAGATCAAATACTAATACGCACGATTGGTTTTAAAAAACCAAATAATTATGCGATTGCCTAGAATTAGACAGACCGCCAACAATTTTGCTGGAAAATAACGTACCTCTCGTTCTCATCCACAAGGGGGTGCTGAGAAGGCGGAAGAAGCCTTCTGTAAGCACACAGTCTCAATGTGGCTTAGTAGCTAAATATGTTAGGGTGAGCAACTACTAGTAGAAAACGGAGCTTTAAAACCGGTTCGTAAGGGTCTTTAGTATCGGTTCGGCACGAACCAGCGCTAAAATGCCACCACGTGGCGTGAGCTCGCGCCCTGGTAATAAAGGTTTTTTTTTTAATTTTGGAAAAAAATTGATTTTTTTTATTTTTATTTTTTCTGAACTATTGATGATTTAGTTTCTAATCACCTCTTTCAACTGCTCAAGTGTGGATCACTCATTCCAAATCGCCTAACTTCTTGGCCGGTCACCCATCCTCTCACTCCCCCAGCCTGAGCACGCTTAACTTCGGAGTTCTATTCCCCTACATTCCAAGTCTGCACTTGTTGTTTTCCTTACAAATGTAAGCTGTCAATCCTATTAACTCTCAGCAGTTTAGCTTGAGCATTAGGTCACACATTTCACCGTTTGAGTTTGAAACTATTATTCTAAAAAACGGTAATTATTTAGTAACACTAATATTTCTTGAATAAGTTTGACCACAATTTTATCATAGTTTGACCAAATTTGACCAAAATTCAAAAAATTAAAATAATTATTTAGTAACAATAATATTCTTGAATAATTATGTAGTAACATTAATACTTCTTGAATAAGTAGTTTGACCAGATTTAACCAATTTTTTTTTAAAAACTAAAATTTAACCATATCTTTTTTCCTTTTGGAATCTGAGGATTCTAAAAAATTGCAAACAGGTCGTAGGCGGTCTCCATCGGATGCGGATTTTCGTGCTGAATTGTTTGATATATTATACGTTTTTTTCCGACATCGTATACAAAAATTATAGCCGTTTTACATTTTCCCTACACTTTTTGCAAAACATGTCCAAATTTAAGTTTTCAAATTTTCCCAACTAGTAGATGTAGTAATATAACTACCTCTTGAAGGATTTTATTTTTTGAAGTTTTTATCATTTTCTTTTGATTTTTTCTAAACTGAAATGGCGATACATAGGGGGGTAGAGTTCGAAAATTGCCCTATAGTCCCGGTTTGTGTCTCCAACCGGGACTAAAGGGGATAGTCCCGGTTCGTGGCACAAACTGGTAGCCCTTTAGTACCGGTTTGTGCCACGAACCGGTACTAAAGGTGATCGTGGGGCCCCGGCCTGACGTCAGCCTGCCACCACCCCTTTAGTACCGGTTCGTGACACGAACCGGTACTAAATGTTCAACACGAACCGACATTAATGCATAGCCGTTCGAACCGGGACTAATATGTCTCACCTTAGGTCATTTTTCTACTGATGAACCAAACAAACCACCATAAGATTGTTGTGCATAAAACTGTTCTTAAAACAGACCTCACTTGTGAGGACCAGGGGTCTGATGGCAAATGGGGAGGGAGGAGTTGAGTGTGAGCATGAAGCGACACGCACATCCTTAATATCACGATAACCGGCGTGAGATGAAGAGCGATGTCCGTGACAATTGTATGACAAGGATGTGTCCCCCAACATCGGTAGAGGAAGAAGTCATGGTGGCGTAATGGCAAAGGCACACACCTTATTTCTCATTTTTAAAGGTCTCCTCAAGGCATCAAAGGGCGGACAAACGTCTCAGGCACGGATTACAGGACCAGAGCTCACCATGCTTTTTGTGTGATCAAGAGGAGGATACGGTGGATCACACTACTACAATGTGCGTTCGCAAGGCAACTTTGGTTCCAATGTTTCTTAAGGGTTGGGATCAATCTGGCTCTGCTGCCTCCGGTGCAAGAGAGGGTTGTGGAGTGGTGGGCTTCGGCGCGGAAGCAAGTTCCTAAGGCACAACGAAAGGTTTTTTACTCCCTCACCGTGCTCATTTGTTGGTGCCTCTAAAAGCAGTGAAACGAAATGGAAGTACCATAGATTTCATTTTTCCGGAGCTCCACCTTTGGCTAAGGCGGGAGCAAGTGAATTCCAACAATTAGGTGAGTTGCTTATGCGTGTTTGGAGTGATGGAGGTGTGGCGTACCGTGTTGTCGTGCCTAACACACTTGTAGTCTCTTGTACATAACTTCTGTCGTCTATAAAACTAAAATGGGGTTCTTTCAAAAAAAGGTATCCCATGTCTCCTCCCCACGCTAACTTAACTGGAATTGTAAACCTCTTCTTCTTCCCCGCTAACCTACATGGGAAACAAATGAAGTTGCAAATGATAATGCGAGGAACTCGTTTAGCGATAGATCTTCTAGTTATTGGGACTCTACGTTTCCTGATCTTATTTCTCATGCCATTGTAAATGACCTTGCGATTATTTGAGAAATAAAGTTTTGATGTTTCAAAAAAAACTATATGAAATTTGATCTTTGTACCAAAAATGGAAACTTGTTAAAAAATATACTTTCTTCGATCCATATTACTTATTTAGATTTGTTTAAGATGTCGAAAAGAATACATTGCAAATGCTAGATGTTTAACCATCTTGATCATCGGTTTTTGATCCACGCCCCCAAAATGCTAAGTTAGGCATCTCAATGTTGCCCCTCAAATCCCCTCGCGTCTAGACCAGCTTGTTCGGACGCATCTGGACATCCCCATATGAGAAGTGCCGATGAGAGCATCTCCAGCCGTTGGCCCCCCAGGGGGCGCCTAAAATCGCCCCCTGTGGGTGAGCCGGCGCAAAAATTCGGCCTGGGGCCGAGTTGGTCCCCAGCCGCCGGTCCCAGGGCCGTCCTTAGGCGCGTTCAAAAAAATTTAAATATATAGCAAAGTTCAAAGTTCGACGAAGTTCGGCATATATTATATTTAAAAAGCGGGTTTTTATTACATATATAATTAAAAAAAGAACTGGCTAAAAGCGGAGTAGTCGCCGTCGTCGCCGCCGCCGTCGTCCGGCTTCTCCTCCTTAACGCGGCCGTCCCTGGTGGACCCCTGACCGGCGTCGCCTATGCGGGCTGGTGGCGGCGGCGTCGTCGCTGTCCTCGATGACGACGATTCCTCCCTCGTCGCGACCCCGGCGGCGCTGCGCGAATCGCCGCAGGGCGGCGCACTGGTTCAGGGAGTCCGCGCGTGCCCATTCTAGGGCCGCGTCGTCGTCGAGCTCGACGTCGGCGCCGTGCTCCGTCTTCACCGCGGGGAGGCCCGGCTTTGTCTTCACCGGCGCCAGGCCCGACTCCGTCTTGGACTTGACGAAGCGCGGAGGAGCCGATGAGGGGGCGCGCCAGCCGCCCTCATTGATGACGATGCTGGCGTTGCAAGTGCGCCGGCCGAGCGGCGTCTCCGCCGCTCACTCGGCCTTGACGCCGAGCAGCGCCGGACGAGTGTGAGGAAGAGCGGGAGGAGGAGGAAGAAGAGGAGGCTCCGAACCTCCTGGGCAACCATTGCCCGTCGCGTCGGCGGTGAGCCGTGGCCGTGGCGGCCGCCCTTGCCAGGGGGTATGCCAACGGCGGGTCGTTGCCGCCCTCGAGGTACGTCAGAACACTCTCGAGGGTGCGGCCGGGGACACCCCACCATAGGTGGCGCCCCTCGCTGTTCTTCGGTCCGCCCACCATCGGCGCGCCGTTGGTGGACGCCATCCTCTGCTGCTGCCGGTGATGGGGTTATGTACCTAGGGTAGGGTCATGGACCTGATCCAAGTACCTTACCCAAGGACACCCTTAGAAGAAGTCACCTTCCAGTCGACCAACGAGGGACACACTCGACTGACTTGAAGGACTCGACCACGAAGACTCACTCGACCACCGGAAAGTCAAGAGGCACTCTGCACTGCAACTGCCTGTAATCAAGTAGACTTTATGATAGTAAAGGCACTTTATGTGGGGCGTTACCAGTAACACCCCAGACTTAACTCACCTTAAACCCTCTCCTACGTGGGCTGGCTGGGGTCCTGGCACACTCTATATAAGCCACCCCCCTCCACAGGCAGAAGGGTTCGGCACCTTGTAATTCATACACTCATAATCCACTCGACCGCCTCCGGGCTCCGAGACGTAGGGCTGTTACTTCCTCCGAGAAGGGCCTGAACTCGTACATCCTTTGTGTTTACAACCTCTCCATAGCTAGGACCTTGCCTCTCCATACCTACCCCCCACTCTACTGTCAGGCTTAGAACCACGACAGTTGGCGCCCACCGTGGGGCAGGTGTTTTAGCGATTTTGTGGGGAAGTTGCGATTCTTCCGAGTACTTTCATCATGGTGTCTGCTGGAGTTTTGGTCGAGGGTCAAGAGATCCGTCTCGGCACTCTCACCTTCATCGCCGACGACTCCGCGTGGCTCCAAGAGGCTCCACTCGACGTAGATGCGCTCCCCGTCCGCGGTGCGACGCATTTTCGCGCATGTGTCCGCGGCGTTCTGCTGCGGCAACCGTCGACCCAGTATCGGTCGGCCCCTCCATCGTCCACCCTCCCGGTATCCCGCCAGCGCAAGCGCTCGGGCCGGTCGAGGCTTCAGCGATGGGTGAGGCACGCGGTGGCTCGCCAATCGGCCACCACCCAAGTTGCGGCAATCGAGCCCGACGAACCTCTCTACGGCTTGTTCGATCTGTCGATTGGCTCCGTAGAGACTGCATCCGAGTGCGGTAGCAGTGATCCAGCGGCGGAAATCTTGATGGTCGAC